ATATATATATATATATATATATATACACTGTCTATAATGTAAAAAAATATAAACAAGTCAAAATGTGACAAATTATTCAGAAAATGTGACAATATTATTTCAGGATTCATAAAATGCTATGAAATAAGCCTTAGTCGAATGAGTAATTTTATTCCAAACATTTTTAGAATTTCATTTCCACCACGGAATGAATGGTAAATTGATATGTAGTGGAAACGATATTTGTTCATGAAGGTTCATTCAGAATATTCACTGTTGGACATTGTTCATGGACAAATTAAATAAACTAGCAAGTGTGCTTAAAGCTTGATGTCGCTTCTAGCTTTATAAAAGCTAGCTTTCTAAAAGATTCTAAAATTTCTAAAAGTCTACAGGGTCAAATGTGGCTATATTTCACAATATTTTCATCTATTATGCACTAGCGTGTGTGTCTAGGGCACATGTTGGTGTAATCAGAAGCACATTAGGGCAGTGGTTGGGGTTACCTGTGCCAGAGAAGGTACGGCAGGGGTAGTAGCAACCCTTGGCCTCATCAGGAACCTCTCCAGGGGTGCTGTGGAAGTGCAGGTAGGTAGATATCCGACTGGACTGGATGGCCACCAGGTTTCCTCCAATACCTAAAATATAATAGTACACACGTCATACAAATATATACTAAGAGTACAGGGAAAAAAACTGAATAAATAAATGAGGAGAAATAAGCAGTATGCCTGTTTCTAACACGTTTAAGACTTAAAGTTAACCTGTGAATAACTCTCATGTCAGTGAAGATTCTGCAGGGAAATCCATGAATACAAGCTTAATTTTTTTCCACTGTCAGACTGGCAGGCATGAGTCATCAGTACTAACTCTGCTTTTGTCCCCCGCCTCTTTATCTCTCTCTTTCTTTCTCTCACACGCCAACACACACAGCCCTTCCCCTCTCTCTCTCTCTCTCTCTCTCTCTCTCTCTCTCTCTCTCTCGCGAGTAAATTAGAGTGGTGTCCAGAGCCGCAGTAACGATATGTCACGCCCAGCGGTTCTAGGAGAAGACAAGCAAGTGAGAGGGAGAGAGAAAGAAAGAAAAAGAGAGAGACAGGAGACAGAGGACAGAACAGAACGGACAACACAGAGACTGACTGAACATACACATTCTCTCCTCTTTTTACACCATCTCTGTTGAGCTAAAACCTCTGCTTTTGAAATAGCACAAAACAGAAAGGAATAAAATAGAATAAAATACAATGGATATTTGTAAACAGAACAAAATGAAATCAAACAGAAGAGAACAGCACAAAATACAACTGCAGAAATTATAATTGTACAGAATAGAGTAGAATAGAGCAGAAAAGGACTAAATAGAATGGAACATAATAAAAGATGAAATAGAACCGAACAGCACAAAGAATGAATCTAGATGAGTAGAATATTATTAAACAGAAATAAAAATAGTATTGAACTGAATATAATAAAGCAGAACCAAACAATATAGAACAGCAGACCTAAACTGAATAAAAAAAATAAAAAAAATAGAACCTCACATTAAACAATGCAACAAAAAAAATAGAACAGAACAAAACAAAACACTTTGATTGAAAAGAAAATAATAGAAAAGATTTTAGTGAAGGAAGACACTGTCAAATCCATCAACCAACTGTTGGGGATTTGGGAATTGCTTTAAAAAGCTGTGCCACTCCAGGAGAAACAACCAGAAATGCTCAAAATATTTAGCAACTGCAAGTGGACAGTCAAGAGAAATGTAAATTATTTTAAAAATGTATACCTTCAGTTTACAGCCAAACAGAAAATCAGTAATCTGAATTACAATAAGACACAGCAAATCAATTTCTCACATTCAGTAGTGCATTCATGCCCACAATGGCAATAACATTTCCCATCGTTAAAGAGCAGACCTGAGGGAGAACGATTATCTTTTAGCACAGCTCAGGCTTCTGCACAATTAGCCCCAACAAGGTTGTGTTTATGTTTAATGCAAAGGTTACCATTACACCACACTGTGTCACATCCCTGTGGCAGTGCTGGAGAGATGTCATCTGTATGAATATGAAGGAGTGTGTGGGCAAGTGTCTGTGGTTCAGATTAGCAGGTCAGGTCTAAAATTTCTTCATTTTCTCAACAAGCAACAACACGACATTTTGGATATTCATTAGTGTGCTTTAATTAAAAATCGTATGGCTCTTTGTGGAGGTACCATGGTCCTGGCTTTCTCTCCTGTTGCCATGCGAAACTCAACTACCGCAATTAATTACTTCACCCTACAGCTAAATCTCTTCCATCTCTATTTCAGCTATATTCCATCCTTTGGCTTTTTCTCAATATGGAAACATTCATTAAAATCACAAAACTGGCTATATCTGCCACAAGGATTCTTGCATGACTTTAAATGAGGGTGGTTATAACAGAGATGTTTCTCTGAGGTAATAAAAGTCTGAAAGGGGACTGAAATATCAGCTGAGAGCACAAATGTGTGCTGTGGACATGGGGGCGTTAAGAATAAAGGTCTACAAATTAAGGTTTTAAAAACGTAAACCTTTCAAAAGACAAGTAAGACACAAGTAAGACATTGAGATATTGACATAGTTTGACCTATTATGGAAAGTATTGACCAAAACGTCAAGAATTATCTTTCAGTATTGACAAGTGTTGTACTATCTGCAGGTTTCAAAGGAAGACAAACAGTGCAAGCTCCATAGAATATGTTTGTATAGAATAACATATCTCACCATTGATAACAGGCGTGTAAACCACAATCCCAGCCAGGTTGGGATCAGATACAGTTTTGTCAAGGATGAGTCCTCCAATACTGAAATAAGGAAAAATGTTATTGTGATAGAGGGGCAAATGAAGCTCCACATGTTTTTTTCAGTGTGTGTGCAAATTCGTGGCCAGGTGTGTGTATGTGTGTATCACACCTGCTGATGAACATGGCAGTGATAACGGGCTCCCAGCCCGAGTAGAGCAGCTGACGGCTGGCGGGGTGTTTGGAGGAGATGACCATCCACAGCGGAGTCAGACACATGAAGAAGGCACACACCAGAGACGACACATATGGTTGAGAGTCTGATAAAACAGACAGAGAGGAGCATCCCAGTGAATACAGATCCTGTATTTATAGTAAAACACTTCTATAAAAATGAAATCACTTTTCATAATTTAATAATTATTCTAAATTGGCATTTTGGGACACTCCCGCTGCTTTCATGCTCTCAGTTATTAGCAAAAAACGTTATTCAATACCATCTAAAAGTTTGAGGTCAGTAAAATGTTCTTCTTTTTGAAAGAAATAAATACTTTTATTCAGCAAGGATGCATTAAATTGATCAAAAGTGACAGTACAATTTATATTGTAACAAAATATTAATATTTCAAATAAATGCTGTTCTTCTGAACTTTCTATTCAAAGAATCCTGAAAAAATCCTATTATGTTTTCCACAAAAACACCAAGCAGAAACTGTTTTCAACACTGATAATAAGAAATGTTGCTTAGCACAAATCAGCATATTAGAATGATTTCTGAAGGATCATGTGACACTGAAGACTGGAGTAAAATTCAGCACTGCCAACACAGAAATAAATTACATTTTAAAATATAATAAAATAGAAAATACTTATTTTAAGTTGTGATAATATTTCAAAGTTTTACTGTTTTTTTATTGTAATTTTACCATAAGAGACAATAGTGAAAAACTCTGACCACACTATAACCCATTTTCTGCCATTTTTCAAAACTTGAGAGGGATTGACGCTGCCATAATGGGAGAGTGACAGGAAAAAATAACCATGACTGACATCTTGTTGATGACAGAAATCATGTTGTCAGCTGCGGTTTCGTTCAAATAGAACACATCAATTGAACTCACACTCAGAATTTGGTTATGACTTCTATGTGGGGTTGGGGAATATTTTGAACATTCATTTGAAATTTATTCACAATGATTTTGCTGGCAATACAAAACAAAGTAACACTGTGAATACCACAATAAATTTAATATGGCTTTTATTTGCTTAAGTTTCTTAAAGATTATGGCATTACATTCATGATTCTTTTTTGTCTCATGAGCGACTCTCAAACATTTCCATAGTCACTTAAATTTGATTCATTTTTATGCAGCACATTCTTCTTTTTCAAATCAATTCAAAACCTATGACTGATGATTGGATTCCCAATTCGTTTTGCGGCATCGCTCAAAAACATTCATGTTAATTTGAATGTGGCGCCCCGATCAGGACTAACAATCATATTCTGCTGCTGTGTAAATGTAGCCGTACTGACTGGCTCTAATTGGATTTAAGCAGATTGAGGGAAAAAAATGATCTTCTTAAAAAAACGAATCAAATTTTTTGATGCAGACAGCAATGCGAAAAGAGGTTTCACTCTTTGCTAAATACTCTTCATCACACATTAAACAGCCTAAATCTTTAAATCCCAAACATAGAGGCAACATCTGTGTGACTATATTTAGTGTGAGATGGGCCTGACAGGGCAGCGGTGTGCGCTAATGATGGCAGAAGCCTCTCTTTTTGGCTGGTTGGCATGGCTGATATGGTTTTGGCGTGGCACGGTGGTGCCATTTGCTTTGCCCTCACCTCAAAAAAGGAGCGCGGCACTCAGTCTGGGCTTATCACACTGAGTCATCATGGACTGAAGCCTCATTAAACCCAGCATAAACACTCCAGAACGCTGCTCAGGACGTCCCACATGTGACTTTCACACTTTTTAGATGTAGTGTTTGTGTGTGAGAGAGACACTGGTTATTTGGCTATGCCTATGAGGGCCAAATATTTGAAAAAGTCACCACAAACATAAAGAAGCAAGTTGAAAACCAAATTTAAAGTGATCATCAATATTTTAAAAAAGCTCATGAATTAACTGATCCTTGATCTTA